AAAAACTGACGTTGTGAATACTTAGGAGCAGAGGTGATTCTCATTTTATTAACTTTATGAAGCTGCCTCAGAGACCAGGAGTCATCATTCTGAGGAAGTATAGAAACGTAATGTGTCACTGAATTTAGAAGTTCTAGGAAGAGTAGTTTAATATGAGGAGCTCGTGGGAATCAGCGGTTTGACCCCTGTTAGCTTTGTGTTCACTTTTGTTTGTCATCTAACCATTTTCTTCTTTCAGTTCTTGCAAGTATGTATTTAAATGTGTCAGGAGTCTTTGTGGGAAACTGAAGAGTAGTGTTATTTGTATTAATGGGTATTATGATGAAAAGACATACAGATAATCAGGGATTGTAGACAGTCGTGAGGTTTTTCACTTTTACCTGACATAGTTGTTTCCATGAATTATGTGCATGTATATACCCATTGCATATGATATCGTAGTGACTGCTAGTTTTTTTGCATCAGCTTTACTGTGTTCCTTACAGTTCGTTTTTCTTTTTCTATTGGCAGGTATTTAATTAGTCAAGGAGCACATGTAGGAGCTGTAAATAGTGAAGGAGACACTCCATTAGATATTGCTGAAGAAGAGGCAATGGAAGAGCTGCTTCAGAACGAAGTAAATAGACAAGGTAATTTTGCATATGGAGGGATAAATTTGTTTATTGGATGATAAATATATTTTTGAAAACTTATGCTAAATCAGGAATTTTCAAGTCACTCAATTTATTTTCTAAAGAGAAAATACCATGTACAGTGCTCGAGCTGTCTCCTAGGCACGTTTTCTTGTCTCAGCCTCTTGTAAAAAAAGGTCAGAAGTATTGAACCCAGGTGCTGATTGAATTCCTGAATTCACTTAACTCAATAGAATTTAGGTGGTATTCAGATACTATGGATAGTATTCAGTGCCTCTGGGATATAGACTTCTGTATCCTTTAAACTATGTTTGAAGAGTTTCCTGCCTTGTAGAGGAGAGAAATGGGCGCTTTTGGGGTGACTCAGAGGTCAGTTTTAGGACGAGGTGAATCCAGCCCTAAGGTCACTGTTTCTTTCCGTTGACTACAAGAAAGCCTAGAATAACTAAAACAAGAGTAAACAACTATACTGTATTTCATAAATCATGCTTTGTGTCTATTTCTGACCTTCTGAATGCCCTTCTGCAATGCCAGATGTCTGAAACTACTTCTTGGGATAAGGAGTCTTAGGTTGCACTTGTTTTAGACTTGAGAACATACCATGAACCTTTAAGTTCCTCCTGGTTTTGTGCGCTCTTCTGAGAGCACTATATAGGTGAGCATTCATGTAATAGTTAATGGATAGGTATCAAGTTTTGTCAGTATTGTTTAAAAATGTATACTCTAAATATATGCACCTTGCCCCTAGAAAATTGCTAGGGCACTACTGGCAGTGGTGTCTTTACAAGAGAAATTGACCTTTGAGAAAGCATATTGATGCGTTTTTTTCCCTGCTTTCTTTCCCCTCCATGTACTGCTGTTCTCTATGTTCCAATCCTCAGGTGGGTTTTCCAGTGAAAGGTTTTTGAAAGTTTCTGGTTTTCCATTCCACAGGGGGAAGAATATTCAGTTGTTATTGACTGACTGTCTTGAGTCCGATAGAAATGCAGTGCTATCACAGAACTCCCAGTACAAGAACTGGGGTGATGTGGTCTATTATATATTGAAGCAAAATTATATTCAGAGTGAAGATGGAGTCTTTGTGGGGGCTGTGCAAGGGGTCTGTGTCTACGTTACTTTTAGACTCCTGTCTGCCTCTTGAAAGGCTTCTTCCTCCTTGAAAAGGTTAATTTTTTTTGTAGTGTTGAATTTATATCTCTAAGACAGATTTACATCATTTAATAGTAAACTATTAATTGCTTCAGGCTTTGCCCTGATTTCGTTTGGTGGTGGTTAAAACCATCTAATGCCCAAAGCAAATGGTAGAAACACAGTGGATGACATGATATGCAGGGAAATAAGAGATACCTACTGATATACAGAAGTAGACTGCAGATTTGACAGAGGCTTTGATTCAATTATTTGGTAGTGTCAACTGAATTTTGATTAACAGTTCTTACAATTAACGCACAAAGAACAGGAGATTAGATAGTTGTGGATATTTTTTTGTCTGTACTACCATTTGGCTATTCTAGTTTGGAAAAAATACAGTTGTCATCTTTTCTAACAGTACTGTCAATCTTTGCTGGAGAGTTGTTTCTGGGATGTGCCTCAACCTAAATTCTTTAAGGTTGTTTTTAAAACATTTGACTTTACTGATGTGCTATACTAATTGACTGTAGTAGTTCTTTGTAAAATTTACATTATTTGGGAAAAGAACTCTTTTCCAAAATCTCTTATTTGTATGTTACTGGTTTTTTTAAAGAAAAATTATTTGTTACCTGGGGCTTTTATGTACATTTTTTACAATGCAGATATTCAACAATGCATGCTAACTTCTATTCTTTTGCAAGTTTAATTATTTTGAACAGCCCAATTGTAAAAGTAGCATTGGCAACCTAAAGTGAATGCCACAATTCACTGAAAATTTCAGTGCAGTTTACATATTTCATATGTAAAGCTTACAATAAACTATCTATGGTACTGTCTGTATAAGTCTGAGAGAATGTAGATGTTCCCACGCTATAACTGTTAGCTTCTAAACAGGTAATTCAGGTTGATTTAAAATACTAAATTTCAGTTACTATGGAAAACCTATTTTCCAAGCATTCCTCTTACATTTTTCTGTCAGTTGGCTTGCTGGCAAGCTAAAGGATTTTCAGAAGATTGGTCGTTCTCTTTCTAAGATGATTTGAGAAATACATTGTTTGAACAAGGCACCTGTCAGGTGAGAAAAAACTTGCTAGGGCTGTGCTTCAGAGTGGTTTGACCTCCCTCTGTGGAGAACAGGAACTGGATGCTGTCCTGAAGACTTGACCACACTGTGAACATCCCTGACAGCATTTCTGCCTTCCTGGTCTTAACAGGCCACTAAAACTTTTGTTTTTATATATAACCTATGTATATA